CCCCTTTTTCTGTTCAGCCTTAAACTTTAAACGCAGCGTGTCTGTTGTTGTCTTGCCGGGTATGAAATGAGAATCAGCTTGTCCTGCTGAGGGGTCTGAAGCACAGACCTCGAGGGTCACACCAGAGCTGGGAGCTGAGGTCAGACTGCTTATTGCCTAATTAGTCTGACGGTGCAATCGGCACGCCTTTTGTGGCTCTGTCTTGTCACTCCCACAAAAAGCAGGGGCTCAAAGCCAAGTGCCACGGGGAAGCAGACTAGCCAGAAGGAGAGTAAAGGCAGTTCTTTCAACTGCTAAGGGACCTGTGCTTAGGAAATGATAAATTGTGGTCCTTTTTGGGGGAGGTTGCCTGGGTGAGAGAACAGGACTGAAGATGCTGTAGTGCTGGCCAGTGGGGTTTATGTGTTACTGTGGTATTAACAGCGTGTTGCCTTTTTCCTCTGTCTGCATTGGTATGGGGTATATACCTCTGATTATAACCCAGCAACCTTTCGAAACTGCAACCTGAACACTGGAGTTAAATTATCAGTCTTCTTGCTAAAGAGCAGCCAGAAAATTTTTGCTGGAACTAGCAAACTGTAATGACCCTCTTACAAAAGCTAATTTTGTCAGCTTAATTGCTTGCTTGATGCAGCAGCCCTCTACTTTTAACTGTGTGTAGTTGTTGTCTTACAGAAGAGTAGTAATTATTGTACCCAGGAGAGTTCCCAGCTAGGACTTCTGAATGAAGATACTAGTTTCCTGCTAGCATTTGCTGAGGATGAAGCTGATGTTTGTTCTGGGAGCGAGAGACCTTATGCTCTCCAGCTTCTGAACTTGCGGTATAAACCAGGGGTCCCTCTCAGCAGCCCTATGGTCTCTCCTGCAGTTTTGCAATGGCCTCTCCCATCCTGCTCCAGGCAAGGCGTTTGCACTTAAATGTCTCACAAACATGAGAGGCTTTTATTCCTGCCCTTTCTAGGGGAAGGGGAGCCAATACCCAAAACTCCGCCGTGATCCACCCACTAAGGTGAATGTTAGTGTGCTGGAGTGTGTTTAAATTGTGCTATAAACCACCAGCCTGTTTACAGAGAAGTAGAAGGATTTGCTTAACCCAAGACCATAGGCTCATTTATCTTGCTTCCTTCTTTTCGCTTGTGTCAGGCTATTTTTTCCTGAATGTCACTAAAACTCTCCCTGGAGCTTTGTTGATTAGCTGCAGAACTCAGTGTTTTGTATTGAGATTCAGGCAGGAAAATGCTATCATACTGAAGGTAAGGGCCTTGGTGTCAGCCAAATAAGCCAGGAGAGAACACGTGCCAGACTGCACTGTGTGTCTCTGCATGTCTGAGAGCATTCTGACTCTGTGCCTGAGTGCCACAGCTAGTCTGGTATTAAGTATACCAGCGCACAGTGGAGCTGAGGGGTGTTAAAGCTCCTCTTGAATAGACCAAGATGAGCCTTGATGGTAGAAGGCACGGTACCCACCACACTTCACCTCTTTACCTCTAGATCTGAGCTCAGCTCCTAATGCTTCATGCTTACCTGAAATTTGTCCTCATTGTCAAAAGGATACCAGCAAAGATGTCAATCTCTCTCTCCTGTTCTTTAGCTGGTGAATAATATTGTTGCTTTTTTTTCTTTCCTTTATAAAGAACATTCGAAAGTATTTGCTGACTGAAGCAAAAGAGAAGAATCGCCCCGAGTTTCTTCAGGGTTGGCAGACTGCTGTGACAAAGGTAAACGGCAGCACTTCGAGCGCTGGAGTCTGACTTGCTAGGAGATTTTAGGAGGCTGCTTCTAAACCCATATATTTGTACAAGTAGTAAATTGTTTTATGCTGACCACATGGAGGGTGGTAGGAGCAACGCAGGTGGTTACACGTGGAAATTAGAGCTCTGTCACTTGTTCAGCTTCCACCAGGTCTTTAATACTTTCTGCAAGTGACTTAGTGATCTGAGCCTAATCTCTGGACAATTAAATATCCATGCAGCAAAACCTGTAGCTGGTGCCCATGTTGGCACAAGGTCAAGGACTGAATGAGGTGGAGACTCGGCTTCCTGACTTCTCGGAAAAGGACTGTTCTGAACTATGCCAAATGGATGGGGTTTGGTGAAGGAGGGAACAAGCTAATGCTGCTACTGCCTATATTTTATATTTGCTATGGATAGAGGGCTTTGGTCTCCAGGGCTGTTTGTGGCACATTGCATTTGTTCACAAGTAAACAAAGTTTGGCAACAATAAAAGGGAATCGTGTAGTGTAAATGAGGGAATATGTGATTTGCGTAGCCATCCCATAATGTCTCCAAAGATATAAAACAGGTCATTGCACACTAGATAAACTCCCAACAGCTCCCTCCTTGCACAGGTTTATTTTTAGATGCTGATACAATGATGAAATGATTCCTCTCTGCACTCATGCACACCCTGTGCAGTCAGAGTTTGTCCTCCTGCGTTCTGTGAGGCAGAAGATCTGGGAGTTGAGGAAAAATAATTACTTTTCCTCTTCAAGTGCCAGAGACATAGCAGCGCTAGTGAGTGGGGCTTTTTAGCTCCGCGTATCAAAATTGAGCATGTTTGAAGAAATAATGAAGGTTGGAAGTTGTCATTTGAGACTGCCTTGCTCAGTTCTGTCACCTGATGATGTACCACTCTTCACATTCTTTGAGACCCTTTGGTGTGGCTGGGGGAAGAAATCCACTGCTGGTAGTGTGGATGCTGAGAGTAATCTTCCTCTAGGCCTGTGTGACTTTGCTGATATAGTTTGGTCCTGTGTAAAGCAGATAATGCTGTACAAACATTTACTTAAACTAATTGAGAAGCTGTTCTGTGTAGGTCACTAAAAGAAAATAAACTTGAAAGAAAGATTTGTAATTTGTTTTCTGTCCTACACTATATATTTTTCTAAATGTTAGGTGTTATTCTAACAAGGTGTTGAGTGTCACCTTGCAAAAGTTGGGATCAGAATAAGTAATCATAATTCCAGTTTCTAGTGCTGCAGAACAGCTAGTTGTGAGAACGAGGTACCTGATTGTTTTGCCGAATGTCCTTTTGGACTTTTAAGTAGGCTTTAGAGAATAAAAGGATAAGTAAAGATCTAACATGTCTCCTCTTGTTTCTTTTCCTTTTAGTGCATTCCACAACAGAAAAATGACAGTGACTGTGGGGTTTTTGTGCTCCAGGTAAGAGTAGTGCTTTTTAAAAATCAGTGGCCTGTATTGTTCATATAGTAAATGTACTTTTTTTCAATCAAGCCTTTTCCTTTTCCTCAGTACTGCAAGTGCCTCGCCTTAGACCAGCCTTTTCAGTTCTCCCAGGAAGATATGCCCCGAGTGAGAAAAAGGATTTACAAGGAGCTGTGTGAACGCCAGCTAACAGACTAATAAAATGCAGCCAACCTAATTTCTCTGGCATTTCTGACAAGTTGCAGCTGGTGTTTGTGTACTTGAATTTCTGAAAACTTCCGTGAATTTTGAGCGATTCTCAGCTGAGTGGTGTGGCCACTGTTGTTACCTCAATTTTTTTGACAAGCTCTTTAACTGGCAGAACATAACAGAGCTGCCGTAAAATATTCCTTATGTCCTTTGGTTCTCTTATGTTCTTTCCTGTATTTAATATTTATTATCTCAGCATGCATATAGGCAAAGCATGCAACTAAAACCATAAAACTGTAGATTTGGTGCACCTTTGAGATGTAGCTAGAAATGACAAATACAGGTGATTTTGTCTGGAAACATAAAGATGCATGATATGTTTTCCGATGCAATAATGCTTTGAATGTATCAAAAAAAAAAAATCAATGCCATAAAAAGAACAGCTAGATTCTATTTGATAGTTCCATTGTCCCTGTTGTGGCTGTATAATACTGAATTACCACTTTTTAGGGTGGCTAAACTCATCTACAGATTTAATTTGTAGAGACCCCTTTTTTTAAATAGTTCAACTTGCTAATAAAGTTTGTTCTGTTAACATTTATTCAGCTGTCATTATCAGCCTGTCCCTATAGATAAAAAGCAGCCTTTGCACAAATAAAGCTTCAGCACTTGTCTGTATAATAAAAAGTACAAAGGTGTTCAGTCAGTCAGATTGATGGTATGTTCCTATATGCTGCAGAAGTCTCCGTGATGTGTATATTAAGGAGAATTATAAAGCTGGCCCTGAAGAGTCACAGCTTAGATACTAAGATAAACTCCTTGGCTGTAACTGTTTAAATCTCAGATGGCTTTGACTCATTTTTCAGTTGCACAATATGCAGTGAAATGTACCATTTCGGCATCTCTCACTTCAGCCCTGTCTTGAAATGAACTCCCTTCAAGCTTGTCATGTTTAACCTCCCATTGGCTTTTGCCTTTGTTCAAATATAAATTAATTCATTTCTGCTGCATCTGCTGTTTGATTGCCTCAAACATTCCTAGTTTTGTTTGTGTTCAGTAGCACCGATGGGTCTGGTTGGGAATCATAGCTTGTGGTGGGTGCTGTACAAACACAACAGGATTATGTCATTCTGCTCCGGAAGGGCGGGAGGCTGCGAGTCCAGCACTAAACTTTGCCAGGTTGTTGCCCTGGACAGGGATAAGTGAGAGCAGTGTATCTTGAGGCTTTGGGGGTTTTTGCCTTGATCTGTAAACTATGATGAACTCCTTGCTGAAGAGAGCTAGTTTTGTTTGAAGAGACTGTTGTATGAGACCGTTGCACCAGCAAAAGTCTTTGCTGTGTTTCTCTGCCAGATAAAGGAGTGAGCCCAGAGGAAAACTATTTTTAATGCTAAACGTCATCTGTTGCACAGCTTCACTTTGTGTCTGTCCATAGCCCTGACTTCTGATGGAGGAAAACCACTTTGAGTTCCCTGTCTTGCAAATTAATTCAGGCTTGAGCTAAGCCAGGTGCAAATCCCTTCTAGATGGTGGGAGGGAGCAGGGGGAAGGGAGGGAGTGCCAAGCGCAGTCAGGCTGGGCGATGGAAGCGTGTGCGTGCTGTATTGTGCTGGAGAAGGAGGTCCTGCAGTATCCTGGTGTGTTCCCACTTCCCCTTGTTGGCAGCTGGCAAGGACTGGCTTAATTTAGCAAGATAAGGAAGGCCTTAAGCACTTGGTTAGATAATTTAAACAAGGGAGTTACTGAATCAGAAAGAACTGAAGACCCAGACTGGCTAAACATACATTTGCCCATCGTATGGTGCAGAGCACCCCACAGCGCATGGTTTCTTGGTGTTTCCCTGAAGTGTTACTGATACAAACAGCAGCACCTTCTTGGGGCGAGTGACTGCGAGCAGTGGAGGGTGACTTCCATGAAAACTGAAACTTGGGATGTAGTTTCTCATGTGCTAGGGTAGAACATGTAAGCCAGTGCTGCCGTTCTCGTCTTCTCTATGCACTGCTATCACGTGAATGGTATGAATATTTAATGCTGCCATGTGGTGGGACCAGCTGAACTGATCCAGGTTAAAACTAACCCAGCCAAAAGGCAGCAGCCTTAACCCAGAGGACAGAGGAGTTCTCACCTCAGTGTATCTTGTCACTGAATGTGTATACCAGCATGAACAAAGAGGGAGAATTGGGTGGCCAGGAGGAGACATGAAAGTAGTGCCTGCTTTGGAGGCATGCAAGTGGAGCTATATCCTCAAGCAAGACTCCCTGCAGAAAGGGAGTGAAATACAGACAGGGAACTGCATGACCAAGCTGCCTTTCTTTTCAGAACTTAAGCTGTTCGGTAAGGAAGCTTGAAAGGTGTGTTGTGACAGTGTACCATGCTGGGAGACTCAGTGCCTCCAAGGAAGACCCTTATTTTTTGTGCAAGTTGCCTCGTTGATGGATATTTTTCATTGCATGGGAATGTGTTGGAGCACTGGACCATAGGTCGTCCTTTCCTGAAACATGGTGCCTACTGCTGGTTGGTAGGAATCCATCTTCCTCTATATGAGAGGCTGGGAGGAGTCTTTAATCATGATCCCTTTATCAGTGGCATCAGTAAAAGGACAGTATTTCTGTGAACTTTGCGTTTAACGGGAACATGGGTGCTTTGAAGCAAGTGCATATGTGTACCAGATCATTCGAGGGGAGGGGGCTTGCTTTTGAATCTGCTTGCTGCCTTGTGAACTGGGGAACAGGGTGGGGAAAGACGCATGTTGGAGAGTACTTCTCATGTGCTTTCTTGTTATCTAGAGGTTTGCTGACAAGTGTTTCTGTTGGTTATGGGGCAGTACAGAGGAGTTGCACTTGAGTATCCAGCTGTGAACACACCAGTGAGAGGCCTCTGGAAAAAAAAAGGAGGGGAAATTGAAAGCAGAGCTAATGTAAGCAAAGTGTGTTGGTGCAGGGTTGAAATTAATCACAGGCAGTCAGAATCTCAGACTCTGTAATGGTGTATCCTGTGAAACTGGACTAATTAACTCCTCCTTGAGAATGTCTTTGATGCCTTAAAGGAGATGGACTCCATAATCTGTAGTCATTTTACCAGTTCTTAAAACATTCAGAACTATGTAGAGTGTTTTTATTATGAGAGGCACATTTATGTGGATGTAGTTATGGCTGTTAGCAATGCCGTTAATGTGATCTTCAGAATTTTATAAATCACTCTGAACTGGTTTGGCTGATGCTTAAATTTCACGACTTGTTCCGAAGAGATTGTCTCGCCCTGCTGATTTATATAAATAGTCCCAGAACTGGTGAAGCCTCCATCTCGTGTGTGACAAATTTAAGCTACCTGAGTTGTAATAAACCTTAAACACAATTGGAAATAAATTATTAGTTTCCATTTTGTTTGCTTTAATCTATAGTTTAAAATGACTGTGCAGCTGATATAAATCAAAAAAATGCAAAATGTGGCCTTGGTTCTGCAAGGTACGTAGAGAAATGCCTACTGCTAAGCTGTTAGATACTTGGAGAACGGAGGCTGGACCTTTGTGCTGTCTAATGTGCTGCTGCTCCATTCTTACCTGGCCCTCTGGAGTGTGAAGGTGATATTTTGAATGTTTCACTTGCACTGATTACTGAGCCAGACAGGCTTGCAAAGAGTTGATGGCTTGTGTTGAATCTCTAGCATAATGCTTAACCTATCTTTACTTGCTCAGAGTTTTGATTGGCATTATCTACTGTAGCATTTATTCGAGTCGATGTGAAAATTTAAACCTTGGGAAGTGACGTAGACTTAACTCCACCGAGCGACAGTGTGGTTTGTGGGTGTGTTCTTGCATCAAATGAAGCCCATGTTCCTGTGAAGTAATAAAATTGAGTCTCTAAAATTGAGACCCTATTTTCTTTCAGCAGTTTGGTTTCATTTTAATTTTAAAAGCAACTGATGTGATGGTTGAGGGAATGTTTGTAGCAGCTTGTTTTGGGATCTGTGTTATTAGGAGAAGCCTCTCCAGTTGATTAGTTCAATAACTCTGAACTGTACGCTAATGATGCTCTCTGTTGCGTGGCACCGCAGTGATATAACTTACAGTGGTTTGAGCTCTGACAACATACAAGATTGGAGGTGTCGCATGTTCCATAAATAAGGGTGGAAATCTTGCGTTAGACACTTTCTACTAAGGCGGCATTTAAAAAACACAGATCTGTCAACAGAACAGGTAGAACTTAAATTACTTTTCTAGATCAAACTAAATTAATGCCCTTCTTGTATCACTTGTTGATTTAGCTATGTAACTATAGAGTTAAATCTTGTCTTTGCTGAATTTCGCAAAGCCATACAGCTTGTGAATTTGTGATAATGGGGGGAACGAAGGCTTAGCGAATGTCTCTTTAAGCTATTAATCATGAGGCTGGCGACATCATTGTCTTTATTACATTCATAATTTAAAAATCCTATCATGGAGGAGGAAACATAGATGCTTGTTAAATATATTCTTTCAGTGGAAAGTGCTAAGAAATCAGATCGTTAAAGTACAGAATCATAAGAGACACTAGAGCCTTGCCAGGAACAATAATTACTATTTATATGTAATAGGCATTGGGAGGGAGAGAGATGAGTCTGGTTTGTTTGTGCCTGAACTTAATGGATTTTATGAGAAACCAACTAGAAGGATTTGGGGATTCAATTTCGTTTTAAGAGCATGTAATATTACAAACTATAGAGCTAAAAACTGTTGCAAACCGAGCGAAATATCTTGAGAAATCAACTGGTTTGTTGTCTCTCAACCCAACTAAGCAAAACATGTGCAAAGCAGCTCCTGCTGGAAATTCTGATGAGTTCTTATTCTTAATTTTTGTGTTTGATTTCAGCTTTGCTGGTAACTCATCTCCCCTAACACAGCACTTTCTTGAGGTTGCAGACCTTACCTAATGCTGAGGTTACCTGGGGCTCTTTACGGTCAACTTTGGGAAGCGCCCAGGAGGAGAAAGGATCAAAAAGCTGTTGGGGTATCTGTTTGCTCTGCCTTGTGATAAATGTGTCGTGGGAGGAAAGGCAGGGGAGAAACTGAGCTTTAAATAAGATGTATTTAACTGGATAATGTGGGTCAGGTCATGTTTATGGTACGTGAGCTTGATATAGACAAGGAGCCATCTTGTTTATGAAAACTTTGGGATGAGTGGGAGAGGAATGTGGGGAAGAGACGCCTTCTGCAGGGACGATTGCTCGGCTATGCACATAGGGACGCTATGTCTCGCTTCAAGCCCATGCATTTTAGATCAACTTAATGCAGGCAGCAGCTGCAGCAAAGGAAGAAACTCCCTCCGCAGCATTCAGCTGAACATCACGTTTGTTTAGGACTGTCGTGGCTTGACAATTTATCCTCAGCATCTCTGACAGCTCCAACCTATTGAAAAGCAGACAAGCGTGCTTCTGCTCCGCTGCAAACACTAGGGCTGCCCAAAGGCCCTTACAGATTAAGTCGATTCGAGCTCACCTTTCAGTTCCTGGCTTCTTTGGGGTTTCAGGGTTGAGGTTTTTTTGTTTTTAAAGAAGTCTGAGGTACAGAGAAGTTTTAAAATGCAGCTTCAATAAGTATATCCCCTTCTCATTCAGGAAAATTGTCTTTGGAGACCTGCTTTCAGTTTTGCATACTGAAACGCTTCTGTTTCTCGTGCAATTAGTACAAGGCAGCAATCTTTAAATGCTGCTATTAATGCGCAGAAAAGAGACTTCAGGGCTTAATTTTTGGCAGAGTTTTGTTTTGTCCTCTGGTGGATCATGCTTCAGATGAATGGTTTTTTTTCCTTTAAAACATAAATATAGCTAAAAGATGCTGAAAAGCTTTAGGATAATGAAATGCAATGCCTTAAATTTATGCCTGCTTAGGATTCCTGTAGACACTTGGTTGTCCCCAGACAGGATGCCCAGTCTTTAGAAGGGACCGAGATGTACGTTCAGAGGATCAGTGCTATTTAGAAAACAGGGACTGTACAGGTTCAGTTCCCAAAATCACTATTTGGTCATTTTACCA